CTAATCACCTAATTTGCATAATTAACCAATTTCCAACTTTCACACTGATATCTCAGGTACTATTGGTAATCATCACAGACAGACCTGGATAATTGTGGGTTAAAATCTGTACATATTAATTACCCAATTTGCATAATTAACCAATTTTAAGCTTTCACACTGATATCTAAAGTACTAATTTCCATTTTAATGAAACTTAGTACAAAGATGCTCTAGGACAATGTACAAACCTAATTAGTTTGGGGTAAAACTCTGTTCATATTATTTCCCCAATTAGCATAATAATTCATAATTTTTTGGTTCTAATCACATTTCAATTAAACTTGGTACATAGAGTTTTTGTTACATTGCGCAGACCTCATTAGTTTTACAATCAAATCTGTTCATGTTAATTTTCTGATTTGCATAGTTAGTTTTCAGCTAAGTAATTTCAAATTATATTTAATGTGTCTCCAATACTCTCAGCACATGGGAGTTCTTTCTAAGCTTTCTTTGATTTTTTTATGCGGTATCTTGGGCGTGCTCTGTCAGTTTTCATTCAAATTTGGCACATACATGTACATGTACTTTATACATGTTAGGATGCATATCCATGACAATCTGTTTCAAAATCTGGTCAAGGATGGCCGATTGACAGCCATCTGACTTTTTGGTCTTACTACTATATTCCCACAATTTATGTACCATTTTTATTCGTATTTGGCATATACATCATACATATCAGTGTGTTTCATAATCAGATCAAAGATGGCCGAATACCGGCTGTTTTTATTTTTGGCCATATTACTACTACACGTGTTTTGATGTAAATAAATAATCTGTTGTATACGCCACTTGGAACTCAAGTTTCAAGGACACGCTCGCAACAACCCCTCCGCTTTAATATGACGAGCACAAAGAGAACTTTCAAAAATTTAACGGGTACTGTCTCATTTTCAATAACTTGTTTAATTTAGTGTTTAAAGAGAATAATGCTTTCATTCCTTTGTATTGAAAGAAACTTTTGGTGATGATGCCCCATTATATGACCTTGTGAAACGCTGGCATCATGAATTCAAACATGGAAGGAAGTCTGTGGAAACAGCTCCCGGACCTGGTCGTCCCTTTTCTGTCATTGATGAGGCATCTGACCGTCAAGTTGAGGCAGCCATTTTGGAAGATCAACGCATTACTGTTCGCCAAATAGCCCAAGAGGTGAAGATTAGACAGGGTCTGTGGAAACTATCATTCATGACCATTTGCATATGCATAAGGTGTCTGTCAGATGGATTCCCAGGTTGCTCACACTTTTCCAGAAGCAAGCATGGGTTGACTGCTCAAGGATGAATTTGGAGATGTGCCAAGAAGATGAGTCAAAGTTTTTCAAAAGACTGATTACACAGGATGAAACTTGGGTCCATCACTATGATCCAGAGACCAAAGCCCAGTCAATTCAGTGGAAGCACTTGGACTCACCACCTCCAAAAAAGAAGGGTGCAGCCCTCCGCTGGCAAGGTTATGCTCACAGTCTTCTGGGACCAGAACGGAGTAGTGATGACAGATTTCATGGCAAAGGGTACCACAATTACAGAAGCCTATTATGCTTCACTTTTGATGAAATTAAGAGAAGCTATCATGGGGTATCCTCCTCCTGCAGGACAACGTTCCTGTCCACAACTTGCATGTCGCCAGATCAGAAGCACAGGCGTGTGGCTATGAAATCCTTCCCCATCCCCCTTACTCTACTGAACTTGCACCCTCTGACTTTCATCTCTTCCCAGCCATGAAGTTTGAAAGGAAAGTGTTTCTCAGATGATGCAGCCTTGATTTCCGAAGTTAGGACGTGGTTGGAGGACCAACCTGGGGTGTTCTACAAAAACGGTTTCCAGAGCTGCATCAAACGATGGGAGAAATGCATAACTCTGGGTGGTTCCTATGTAGAGAAAGACTAATAACTTTGCCAAGTTACATTAATCTCCTGCTATGGGAAATGGGTCAAGGGGCATTACTTATTGAACACCCCTCATAGCAAATATTTTTGATAAAAAAAATGCTGTTTTTGACTTCTTTTTGAAACTTAACAGCTCAATTCTTTTGATTCTTGGTATGGTTTGTAACAAGCTGATAACAATTACAGTTGCCAAAGCAACAACCATATAAACCACCATGGCTGTGTTTTAGAACATTGTGCTAACAATTACCATGGCAAATCACTAATATAGAACCGTATATTACACTATCAACTTTGTTTTGCTGAAGGCACTCTACAAGGACAGTGGAGCTATTTAAACCATGTGGTCACTTGTTTTAGTAAGGGGTAAATTATTAAAAACTCTGAAAGGTAGAACTACTGTGCAAATTTCCCTTTACCAAGTTTTGAGAAGCATGTTTTTGAGATGCATGCATGTATATACTGGTATGTGGATGTAACTACCGATATCTAATTCAATACAACTGGGTATGTAGCTGCATAGAAATAATACTAAACCTGATATGAAATCTATCAGTTGAATTATTGTGGTCAGTTAATGGTTATCAAGTCTTTTATATATTAGTTCAACATATTCTTGCCTGTGGTGAGTGCAGTAATTTGCATATATGGTAAGATATGTATTTAATTGCTGTGTTGTTGTAGTTTAGTTCATCAGTGTAAGTATCTGTATCTGTGTTTATGGATGTCAATATATTTGTGTCTATTCCACCAATATCTCAACAACCAATTATTAGATTTCAATGATGCTTTGTGAAATTACAATATGTAATGAACAGTGCCAAAATAAATTCAGATACTAATAAGCTACTTAATTATGCACATATTATCAACACATCGAACACAACGCAGCACATCGACTGTAGCACTTTAAGCTCTGGAAATTATAACATTATCTGAATCTGAGCACTGGTTCTTGTACTATCAATGAAACAAGAATTCCATTCATATGTAAATTTATTGTTAACAAATTAGAATATGACTGCTCAGTTTCATCTATTTCCGATCACTGATTCTTGAGATATTGCTTTTACAACATTATCTCCCGTTGTCTGTCCATAAATAAAAGTCTTCTAATCAAATATGCCAGATTTTGATTAATTACTCTACTGTTATTTGAAAAATACTACATGTACATGTAGTTTTGAGGAACATACATGTATACTCACCAAATTTTGCTTAGATATGTTGCTGTACAATTATTATTTTAACTAGTACATGTACTTTCCTCTCAAAATTTGTAGATACATGTATATTATTACATTGTTTAAGAAGTTTTATACACAATTTCACTATGTGAAGAGAGGTTCATACCAGCACATGTGTATTAATTTCTAGTTTTTATCTATCCATCCATTTATTATTTAATCTAGATTTTCAATGGGTTGTAATATTTTTTTTTATCTTTTTGACTACCAGCCAGAAGGCAGTGGATTAAGGCTACCAATAGTGTATTGTATTGTCAGTCCAGTTGGGTGTTTTAATCTTTATTCTAAATTACTTGATGAAGTAGAGGAAAGAAGAATGCATCAATCTGATGATAGTGTACACAAATTTTTACAAGCTGTAAGTGCAAGAATCATGCCAAAACCAGTGAGTACTTCCATTTCAACTGTGATTTACTGATCACTCTCATTGTTTATATGTGGTTTTTACAGATGCATGAATTCTAATATTTACACATAGAGCTCCCCACCTCACATATTGCCCATAGCCAACTAACATGATTTATATAATCATGTTTCATCTGTTGCATTATTGTTGTGATTGCCAATATTTAGAAATATGTGCCAATATTTAGAAAATGACATAAATCTCAATAATACCACACAGTATTCTGATTTGTTAATCCCATTCTTGACTTGTCAGATAAATAGATACAAGACAACATGACAGATGTAGTGATATCTTCATTCCACAAAGATCCAGCGAGTCAAAATTCTTGCTCACATAAAACTAAGTTGCATTTTTCATGGCATTAAACGTTTTTTTCATGGCATAATAATCATGACTGAATTATAAGCAATGTTTGTAGCACCTTGAAGTATGTTTACATTTCAATTCACACTACCGTTTTTGGCCTGCTATCAGCAGTTGAATGTTACATTTTTGACTTCTTCTTACAAACTGTAATCTGTATGGCTTTCATAATTTACTACAAATATACCTTGGATGGTTTTCTCTCAGACTTGTTCATTTTGTGACAATATACCTTGAATTCTTTAATTTTAGTGAAAATTGCTGCTATTACAACAATGTAGGTGGCATAGATGCATGTCAAGGTAGTCAAGGGGAAAATGTCTGTCCTTGCTGTTGTAGTTATTGTTGTTGTTAACTAGCTCTGTTGAAAAACATTTCCTTGTATACAATAACTCAAATTTTTTAGTCCCCGTTCGGACGCAGTCCGAAAACGGGGACTTATGTTTTGACCTTTGTGTGTCCATGCGTGCGTGCGTGTGTGTGTGTGTGTGCGTGTGTCTGTGCGTGCGTCCGGACCTGTATCTTAAAAATGTCTGAACCAATCACAATCAAACTTCACACATACATCATACATGATATTATACATATGCACGTCAATTTGTTTCACGATTTGATTCAAAATGGCCAAATGGCGGCCATTTTTGTGCTAAAAATCCTAAAAATCAATCATTTCTCAGCTGTTTACAAATGGATTTTGTTCAAACTTGGTATATACATTAGACATTATAGGACCTTGATGCAAATAATTTTGTTTTTCAGATAAGATTCAAAATGGCCGACTGGCGGCCATTTTGTATTAATGAATGTGGTTCTCGTGCCATATCTCTGACTTGCTCTCACTGATTACGTTCAAATTTTATTCATTATACATCATGTCATAGATAGACAGATATATTGGTTTGACAATCCTATTCAAAATGGCCAAATGGTGGCCTTTTTTGTGCTAAACAATCATCAAATATCAAGCATTTCTGGCATTTATGGATGGATTTCGTTCAAACTTGGTACATATATTAGACATTACAGGTTCCTGATGCACATCATTTATTTTTCAGATCGGATTCAAAATGGCCGACTGGCGGCCATTTTGTTTTAATGAATGGGCTTCTAGACCCATATCTCCAACTTGTTTTGACTGATAATATTTTCAAATTTTAAATATTCATTATACATCATGTCATAGATAAACAGATATATTGGTTTGACTATCCTATTCAAAATGGCCGAATGGTGGTCATTTTTGTGCTAAAAAATCATCAAATATCAAGCATTTATGGGTGGATTTCGTTCAAACTCGGTACATACATTAGACATTACTGGTTCCTGATGCTCGTCATTTTATTTTTCAGATTGGATTCAAATTGGCTGACTGGCAACCATTTTGTTTTAATGATTTGTCTTAAATGCTTTGACTTATTATATTTAAATTTTATATATTCGTTATACATCATGTTATATATATATATACATGTATTCAAAATGGCTGATTTTGAATGCTGTTCCAGAGCAATGTCTCTCAATATGGACAAGTACTTGTTTGACGATCAGATACAAATGTCAATCATTTTAATGTTAAAAAATCATATTCCTGACATGGTATAACCATTCAAGCTATATTACTATAAACAAAACTATATATTATAAATTTGATAACTAACAGGGACTGTGCCATGCATGGCTTGTTTTATTCAACTTGGTGCTAGATGCTAGTCATTTTATTCACAGATTGGTTTCAAAATAGCAATCTGACATCCATTTTCAGTTCCAATTCAAATGCAGTCCAAAAATGAGGACTTATAGATTATTGACGTCCTGTACATTTGTGTGTGCATGCATCTCACCTTTATCTCAGACATGCCGGGGCCAATCTCTTTCAAACTTTACACATACTCATACATCATGGGATACACAAATACATGCACATCAGTTTGTTTCATGCTCATTTCTATGCTCAGAATCGATCAAAATCAAGCATTTCTGCCATTCCGTACCAGGATTTCAGTTACCCTATACATGGAAAGATATTGTCCATCCTGGTGCAAACATTGAACATATATAAACTGTACCATAATGTTTTTCAGATCAGATTCAAAATTGCCAAATGCAATTTCTAGAGCCATGTATTTGACATACATTGACTGATTGCGATCAAACAAATACATTATGTCTTGTGTCATTTGGTTTATGCTCTGATTAAAAATGGTTGACTTATTTCAACTTTTTTCACTATTAAACTAACAGGGTCTAGTCTGTGACATGACTTGCTGTTTCAGGGCCATGTCTTGACACTTGCTTCATGCACTATATCACACATAAGCACATGCATTTGTTTTATGATTCAATTCAAGATGGCTAAATTGCAACCATCTTAGTTCCAGAAATTCATCAAAATCAAGTACTTCTGCAGTTCCAGGCAGAACTTGCTTGTCTTCCGACATACTTTTGGAATTTGGTACATTGAACATGATGAGACCTTGACCGAGTGGAGCTTATCATATGGGTGATTGTCCGTCGCTGTCCGTCGTCGCCGTCCGTGTTAATGTTTTACTTTTTCAACTTCTTCTTGAAAACTACAAGCCTGAATGCTTTGATACTTGCTGTATATGTACCTTGGGTAGACCTCTCTCCGGATTTATTCATTTCATTATGATATCTTCAATTCTCTAATTTTGGTGAATATTTTTGTCATTTTTGGTAAAAAGTGATATTTTCAACTTCTTGTTAAAAACCGCAAGTCCAATTGCTTTTATATTACATATATAGGTACTACATGTGGACCTCTCTCAGATTTGTTCATTTTGTAATGATATATTTAATTCTCTAATTTTGGTGAATATTTTTGTCATTTTTGGTAAAAAGTGATATTTTCGACTTCTTGTTAAAAACCGCAAGTCCAATTGCTTTGATATTACATATATAGGTACTACATGTGGTCCTAACTCAGACATGTTCATTTCATGTTGATGTCTTCCATTCTCTAATTTTGATGAATATTTTTGTAATTTTTGGTAAAAAGTGATATTTTCGACTTCTTGTTGAAAACCGCAAATCCAATTGCTTTGATATCACATATATAGGTAGTACATGTAGACCTCTCTCAGATTTTAAACTCGTATTTGCTGTCGACATAGGAAGTAAAGTAAGCAAAAAACACGCCACTACACATCGCGTGGACGGGTTTCATGTTCTCTGCACGTAATAAGCTCGGTTATTAAGCATCCTTTTTTGGGGATGCCCGGTGGCCGAGGGGAAGACGTGTAGTGGCGTGAAGCTAGGCGATTAGGTGCCGTACGCGAGCGCCGGTTCGAGTCACGCACGCAGTACGTGTTTACTATAATTAGACATAGTCTTTACCTTGCCGTTTATTCGATGTTATTTGCTAACTCTCTCAGATTTGTTCATTTCGTGATGATATCCTCAATTCTCTAATTTTAGTGAATATTTTTGATAAAAAGTGATATTTTCGACTTCTTGTTGAAAACCGCAAGTTTGATTGCTTTTATAATATATAGGTACTACATGTGGACCTCTTTCAGATTTGTCTCGCTGCTTTATATATATATATTGTTCATTTTCTAATGATATTTTCAGTTCTTTAATTGTAATGTGCATTGCTAACAGCGGAGCTATCTCAGCCAACAGGCTGCTTGTTTGTTGAAATCTATGAATATCAATTACCTAATTTGTATGATAATGTACCAATCTAAAGAACCACTTAAAGGATTTTGATGAACTTGGTACCTAGATGCTCTGTGCGGAATAATTACCTGATTTGTATGATAATTAGTCGGTTTTCAGCTTTTCCATCAATATCTCAATTACTTATCATCTTTTTTTCAAGAAAGAGTAAAAACACTAAGACAATAAACTAATGTATGTTTATATACCTCCTAATTTGCATAAGAATTAATCATCACATTATAAGGAAACTTGGTAAATATGTGCTCTGGAACAATTACAGACCTAATTAATTTAGGGTTGAAATCTATGCATAATAATTGCATAATAATTAATAATTGCCTAGAAACAATGCGTTAGTTTTGGATTGTAATTCAAGCATACTAATTGCATAATCATCACCTTTCATTGAAATTTGGTTCATAGTTGCTCTGAAGTTTGAAGTTTATTAGGAATCCTGTCAGCTAAATGCTGTTTTACAAGGAGCCATTTAAAATGTTACATTAAAATACAATACAGAAAAAAAGCTATAAAAATATATACAAGCTACAATTCCATTAGAATATTTTTGACTCCCGTGTGCGAATCACAAAAAGGGAGTCTTTGCAGTAAGTGTGTCTGTCTGTCTGTTTGTGTGTCTGTGTGTGTGTCATTAAATTCACTGCATTAAATTTATATATTTTAGTGTTGAGTTGACTCTGCCAATTGTATTTAACTGTTAAAATATATAATTGTACTTTAGGGTAATTCTATAGAAGTAAAGATAAATACTGATACTATATTATTACAAAGACCAATGGATTCAAGACTAGAACATGTAAGTATACAAATTACAATATGCTGTTGTTTTTCCACTCTTGTTATCATACAAGTTTGTACTTTCAACAGCTCTGTTTTTTTGTTTTGTTTTTCATAATAGTACAGAAGTACTGTTGGTAACTGTGTCTGTGTAGTTGTCATGCCAATATATTATTTTGTTATTTTTTTCTTTTTACGCATTTGATTGCACTTTCGTTTTTTTATTAACTGCTACGACTCACATGCGCTTGTGTCATTAGCGTTTTTTTTAGTATTGTCTAGTATTATTGATATTTATACTAACACTCATTGAATATTGTTTTCCAAAATATTTTATTTTTTGGAATGTAAATGGCATTCAAAATAAGAGCCAGGATGATGAGTTTATTAACTTTATTTCTCCATTAGAGGTCAGGAGACCTGGTTGAATAGTGATATAACCCAAGTTTCTCTCCCAGCTGTCTTAGATAATTATGAAAAAATCCGTAAAGATAGACAGTCTGGAAATAACACATCAAAATGTAGGAGAGGTGGGGTTGCTGTTTTGTTCAAGGACAAATTTAAACATTTCATCACAAGAAT